TTAGTGTCACCGTGAGAAATTTTGGTCTCTGTTCCTGTGCAACCTGATTGTGATGTCTTTGACATGGTCCACAGAGGGTGTTTTTCATGTAGAGAGGCACGTAAAGAATGAATAAAAAAGTACCATTCTTGCAGGCTTTTCTGCTTCATAATCATTACGATAAATGCTGGCAGAGTTGGCCGCAGTCGAAGCAGGAAGATGAAAACAGGCTTCCTGGCCGCAACTACCTCGTACGACTCTGATGCTAATGGCGGACAAAAGCCCGCTCTGGATCCCCTGGTAAATCCATGCCTGGTAGCATGGCCTTGCTGCTCTGGACTGTTGTTGAACAGGGTCATAGCTCTTGTGTCAGTAACAGCCAGGGTTTATGTACGTTATAGGGGTGAATTGCGTTTAATAACAGTGCTTGGGTATTGTGTGCATGTTGGTTGCTGAACGTTGTACCTTGTCTTGCAAAGGGTTATTCTAAGGGAGATTCTAACTGGCCATGCTATAGCGTTGCCTGTATGTTTTATTTATAATAATCATTTAAATAAATAATATGATGCAATTCTGAGCATATATTAAAACCAGCTCCCAGTTATGTATCCTCTCATATTACAATGCAGTCATATTCTTCGTTTGCTCTCACCCAAACTTCTCATGCAGTTACACTTTAATATGAAAAGAAATGTTGTCAAGAGTAGTTATTATCGCACATCAGAATATTGTATTAGCATTCACTTTTCATAGATTAAAATGAAAGATTTTGAAATCTGCCCTTAATGATACTGAAGGATCTTGGAGACACATTGGGAAAGCTTTAGATGAAATGTCATATGATATATATACATCATACATAGGTTCATAAAAGACAGTTCATTTAACTGCCTGCCTTTGTGTTTCATCTGTTCTGTTGGCTGAATCATCCACAGGTTAAGTGATGCTTGTGCAGTTTCTTTGCTTGAAATCAAGCACAGTGAGTGGCAGGGAGCTTTAGGGAAAACAAAGTTCTTGTAGACTGGGATAATGAGTAAAATAAGGCAATTTTGGAGGCATGGAGTATGAGATGGAAGAAAAATCTGGTGGTTGGAGGCATCTTTGGGTCGTATCTGCTGATCTTTTGATTCAGTCTGATCCGGATAGGCTGCTTGAACTGCTGTTGTGTAAATCACCACACTTGTAAAGCTGAATTCAGGGTGGATGTCGTATGAGTAAGCTGTCGTGGGTGAGGCACATGCAATGAGAGATGGTTTGGATTGAGAGATGCCATGCTGCAGAGCCTGCGTGTTACAAAGCGGTGCATAAAAAGGTGGAATGCTTCAATATTAATTTCTGACGTACAGGGGCTTGTTTTGGAAGCTTCTGAAACAAGAGTAGGACCTCCCAGTTGATCAAACAGTGGTATTTTTTCCTCGGTTTATTGTTTCAATGTCGGATAGTCACGTTTGGGCAAGGTGGGCAGAGATACAATGTGCTGTGTCAGTGTCTCTGCGCTTCTTGTTATTGAAGGCTCGTGTACCCTTTTTTTGGCTGGGGTGGGATGTGTAGGTCATCTGTGTTCCACACTTCTTTTGTAGCTGGGAAAAGAGGTGATGAATAAACAGGTCATCATTGAAGTAAACATTTTATTTCATTTTGGTATACAGAAATTGTAATTTCATTCTTTTATAAACATTTTGGTAAACATGGAGAACTTGAAGGGGGCATCTCCTGACAACACCTACTGTAGGAAGTGCATGTGTGCCTGCTTCGTCATTTGAGTTTACAGGCGTTTGTCAGGCTCCCATCTGAAGTCCTAGGAGCTGCCAAGAAGCCATGCGCCACACTGCACTAGGCTGAGGGCAGATCGTAATTTATATCACTGTAAATGTAGTACAAATACTAAGACGGCAGCAGTGTTAGTGTCAGCTAATAGACTCCAGTCTGCATCCTGCAAATGCAAACGCTACAAAACATACAGATTGCCTCAACTCTTAAGGAACTATACAACCTGTTACACAACATCTATGCACACCTCTAACAAGCAGGTGCTAAATATTGCAGTGCCTAAACTCCATGTTTGAATATTGAATAAATGAAGTTTTAAATCAAACAGCTGCTGTTTTTAGACGTTAACAGGTCACTCAAATTTTACAGGCGTTGTGCATCAATATATTTTTCCAATAATTTACCCTAACGAATTAATCCAAAACATTGCAGAAAGTCATTTCTTATTTAAGGCCAAGCCAAAAGGCCAGGAAATTTACCTTTAGTTATACTTTTGGTTTTCAGTTTCATTAACACATGCTCACATTAAGCCCACAGACTGTGGTAGAACAAAAACATTTCAGAGCTAAATAGAGGGCCACAAGCAGCGAACAGGAAAAGCTGAGATCCAAGATCCTATCAATGCTGGAGGCAACCATTAGTAGCAAGGCGCTGATCAAATAGGCAGATGATCCAAGAACAACACATAGAACGATGAAAATTTCCGGGATTCATGGAAAAATACCTTAGGGAATTTTTTCTGTGAATGCAGATTTGGTGATGGTAGGCTTGAGAGCAAGGACAGGTGACCAAACATCCAAAAGAGGGAATTATCTGAAAGACTAGTTTACTTCATAAAGATTCTGAAGTCACAGGCTCAGGTATTATGGAAGGCAAAGTAAACTGAAATAACCCTTGACTGTATTTAGCCAGTGTGCAGAAAAGGAAAGAAATTTCTTCACATTCATTGCAACTAAACACAAGTAACATAGTATTTGAATTATAGCAATGTTTGCGGTGTTGTGCAGCAAATATATGAAGATAATGAGGGAAATTCAAGATAGGAGACTTAAGGAATCATGGCTTCCAGGACTACCATAACCAACCAGCATAACTATCCTGTCCATAGGATTTCTTATAAATATGACATGGAATGCATCTTTTCTGAAAAAGAAATCTAACTTCATTTTTAAATGTCTGAGAAATGAGGAGTTTGCTGTTGACATAATGCTTAATTACCTTCTAAAGTAGGAACCTGTATCTTATTTCAGGACTGCATTGCTGTAACTCCCCTTTCTCAACACTAGATCTCATTATACCACTGTCAGGAAGGCTGACACCTTGCTATCAGACATCTTTCCAGGGTGTAAGTACCAATCGCAGTGATCAAGGCACCTTTCAGCCTTTTGGCTGACAGGCTGAATAAGTTGAGCTCTGGTAGGCCTTGCACTGGGGCTCTTGATTTCCAACCACAGGCTGGGAAATCTCTCTTCAGAATTTCAGCTGTCCATCTGAGTAGAAGAAACAATGCATTTTTTCCAGCATGCAAACAATGCAGACACTAAAAATCTTTCTCTAGAACTCTGATTTGGATTACATAAGAACATTCTTGAATGAGAAAGCTGAAAGAAATGACCAGTGTAAACAAGAAGCAGTAAAGGAACAGCCATCGATCCCTATTTTTATGATCTAAACCAACTACCTCCATTCCCTCAGACTTTGGAAATATTCTTTTCCCTATGGTGGATCTGTGCCCTTGGCATGATCCTTTTCCTCCCATGAAACTAGGATTTCTGACAGATAGGCTGCGACTATCTGTTAAATAGCCCTGGCCAGGAAGAGCAGACCATCAGCTGCTGTGCCAGGAGCTGGCACTTGTTCATTTTTACTGCTGCTGTTACAAGCATTGTAGCCTCTGGCAGAGAAAGAGGATGAACAGCTGGAAGCCGAAACCTTTTCGGCCACCTCAGCAAAAATTGGTAGAGCTGTCTGCCAAAGCCACGGTTTGACTTTGCCACCTTGGTCTAGTGGAAGATAGTGCACCTTGCAGGTAGACTGTCCTGAGAAGCTGAGCATGGGTTGAGAAGTGGCCCTGGGGTGTTTCACTGCCACCTTCCGTAGGAGCAGAGCAAGCTCAGTAGTGGGAACGTCTTAGAAAAGCTGCCATGTCCTCAGAAATAATGGCTCGTGTCCAAAATATGTCACTCTAAGCATTCACAGAAGGGGTCAGGTGAAAGTTATTTCAAACAGACCTCGTAACAGCTGGAAATTGGTGGTTGATGAGTGGGGATGGGGACTCCTGCTGTTGTTTGTTTCTACTTGAAAGGTTTGAAAAGGTTTTCCCTAGCTCGTGAGTGGGCTCTGGGACTGTAGTTGCCCCGTTGGCAATGCCACTTGAGCAGGCGTGACGAGGGCTGTGGTGACGTTTTTCCAGGCTACATAAGGAATCGGTAGGTTTCTACTTCTTTGTGTTGGTACAGGATGAGGTTTCAGTTCTGACAGGTTTTCTCCATCTAGACCTTCAGATTTTTATCAACTCCTTTCTGTCACACTTGTGTTCCTTCTGCACTGCAGCTGAGGAGAGAAAAAGAACAACAACAACAACAACAAAAGCATTGTATAGGTTTCCAGGAATGGTATTTATCATTTACAGAAGGGTATTTTTGCAGTTCTGATGATGAATGTTTACTTTATTCACACATCGAGCAAACTATCCTCTTACACCATATGGTCAGGAGGTATACTGTTTCATACATTAAGATGTCTGAAAGCTGTCTGGAAATGTATTTCCTACTTTCTGATACGGGAACATTTCAATAGAAGGGGGTTTAATTTGTTTTGAAATTTCAACTCTTGTTCTGCTCAGAAGCTAAAGTTGGAATCCATTAAGATGCATTTTAATGCAGCTTCTATTCTCATCTTCCTTTTCTCAGTAACTGTGCAATTCACTTAGTACTTCATTACAACCAACAGCAATATGTATACGTGGTGCACAGAATGAGCCATTTTGTTTTAAAACAGATTGTAGATGAAAGGAAACCATTCATTTCTTGCTTGCTAGCTGTAATTACTAGAGCGCTAATTACTCCAAATCACTGACATTCAGGGTCAATAAGGATGACAACAGGAACATCAAAGACAAGATGCACACACACAATTACAAGTCTCTAAAACCAGGCTGTAATATTATTTTACAGCTACTGTTTTTTTCAGTCAGAGCTGAAAAATATTCCAGTTTGCTGAATGTTTACTATTATTTCCTTTGCAGTTTGACGGTGAGAACATGTATATGAGTATGACAGAGCCGAGCCAGGACTATGTGCCAGCCAGCCAGGTGGGTTAATTAATCTTCTCTGCCTTGTTTCAAATTGTAATTAAACAAATTCAAAGAGTCGCATTGCAAATGAGTGGCACTATCAGTAACTGCTGCAATCAGGAATAATCATAATTTATAAACAAAGCGTTTAAGCCTTGTTTCCAGTTAATGAGATAGAGCTGATAAAACACGGGAGTTGGCGTTTGTTGAAAGATACTACCTTGTTTCCTCTCCAGAATGCAAGCAGCTGTTTTGCCAGCATGATCTTTCCTAAACAGTTGTTTTACCTTCAGGAAATAAAGTCTTTACAGGTGCAGGTTATTTGTTTATCTGACTGCAGACAAGTTAATCATTGTAAGCTACGCATGTCACAAATAGCTTTAATTATCACTTGTAGGCCAGTTGTAGTTGAAGAATTGCATTTTTAATGCTAATCCTATGGCTGAGGAATGTTGCCAAAATTACGTGGTTAGCAGTGGGGTTAAGGCAATGACTTGGTCTTCTGTAGCTTGCAGCCCGAAAGGTTTCATGTGATGTGGATTCTTTACAGGTATTTTTGAGTCCTTTCTCTTTTGGGGAATCCTACACACTAAATTCTGATAGTAGGTGTGTATTTAAAAATTTTCCACCTGAACCCTAAGATCACAGAATCATAGAATGGTTTAGGTTGGAGGGGACCTTGACGATCATCCAGTCCAATGCCCCTGCCACGGGCAGGGACACCTTCCACTAGAAGATACTAAAGATTTTTAAGAATTAATGATTTTAATTCCTTCTTAAAAAGGAAAAATATTTTTAAAATTTTTGGTTTGTCTACCTGCAGCTACATCTATATGTAGGGGAGAAACGTTCATTCACTTCACATGTTTTGGTCAGTTTAATTCCACCTCAGTAAGTGATGGTGATAGTGGTGCAGGTCAGTTAGATTGTGTCAGAAATTGCCCTGAATAATCAGCCTTGTGGTCTAGGTCATGCGATAGCTCAGGCCCAGCGGTGGCTGGTCTGATAGACCTCTTTCTGCCAGGACCAGTAGGATTATGCGAAGAGCCCTCAGGAGGTGGGAAATAAGTTTGTGCGCATAGTAAATGTGTGTAATGAGCAGGATGTAACCTGGGAATCGACAGCTTTGGAAAGCGACAGTACATTCACAGCTAAATGTCTTCGTGGAGTAGGGTTCTTCAGGCACAGAGGTTCATTTGAGGGCAGGGAAGCAGGAGGCTGTGTGAGATGAGCTACATTGTTCAACCAAAAAGACCGTCCTTAAAATGTTCCACCGTGTTGCTTCCCAGCCTTCTGTTGGAGTTACTCTGAAATACCTTTAGAGACCAACTGTACTTTGTGTTTAGGATTTGTGCGTGATTGAACTTATTCAGCGAAGAACCCTCCAAGATCCAGAGGTAGTTTAGAATAGAACTGTTTGATTAAAAAATGAAAAATTATATTATTAATTTTTCTCTAACCATTAATCCAGAAACTGTACTGACAAGTTTTAGTATTACTATTAGATTAAAGCAGCCTAGTATCATCTCATTTATGCCTTAAGGGTTTTGAAGTGCAAGGGCTAATTGAATTTGTTTGAAACAGTAGAAGTACAAACTCTGTGAATGATTGCTGTTATAAGGCAGCTGCTACCTTTCAGAGAATCATTATGTCTGTCTTAAATAGTTTTGAATAAGGAATTGCAAATCCACATTATACATCAGAATTATTTTTCTTCTGTTGATATTTTTGTACTGTGTGTGCATGTAGTTTAAATAATTTAAATGCCATATTGAAAAATTAAGAGTATATGTTTTAATCTTTTATGTGGTTTCTACATGTGCTAACGAGGTCCAGATCCTCCAAGATCTTTATGCATCTAACACTCACTGGTTTTGTTGGAAGTAACGTGCTTAAAGTACCTTTAAACATCCCGGCCTAGATATTTAAAGTGCAAATGATTTTGTCTTCAAGGAAAAAATATCTATCAAATGTGGCATTCCTAAATTCGAAGATGGCAGGAAGCCCTGAATGCTTACCAAGGGCTGGAACCAAGAAAGGGCTTACAGACTTAAAATCTCGCCATGGCAAAGCTGAGCTCTGGGGTGTCTGGCTCCCAGGTGGAGTTCAAAACCCAGAGGAAGGTGTCGAAACTCTCAGTCCTTTGCTGGGGGATCCGTGTGGCAAGAGGCAGCTCAACTGCCAGGCACCGTATTTTACGTTATGACCAAACGCGCACTGGTCAGAAGCCTCCTGTGCCTGTTTGAGAGACGCCATCAGCCTTGGGCTGTCGCGCCCTTCCTGTGATTCTCACCTGATTCTTCTCCATTGCAGTGGCTTTGTAAGTGAATATATGCCTGTAATAATAACTTTTTTTTAAAAAAAAAAAAAAGGAGACAAAAACCCACACTAGGAGCAGGAAGCCAGGCTGTGTTGGAAACCTGCCTCTCTCTTGTTTCAGCAAGAACCTGGGACTTGCACAACAATGCACAAGAAGAGGAGTCTTCCCAAACCTGTTCCGGACATAGATAGCTGCTAGTCCTTTCTCAAATAAACTAAGCAGCTCTCCACTGACAGTGTTGGTGAGGTCTTCACTGACTGTAATGGGGCGCCGTTCCTATTTCAGTCATAAACGTCTGGTGGTCACCCAAAATTGGTGAACTGACTACCATCTCAACATCCAATCTGTTTGTTAAAACTGGAAAGAATACGATAGTCACTGCTCTGAAAACAAAGCATGCAAGATTGTGTAGCTTACTGGGGAGGGAGAGGAAGAGCAAAGGATCTGACTGTATTTTCTGGTCCCTGTTTTCAGGACTGTGTGTTCATTTTCATCTCGCTGTTACTGGATGTAAAACAAATAATCCCATAAAAAGAGAAGAGAGAGTGTTGTCTCCCAAAGGAAAGCCTAGTTACTTCATCCACAGAGTTTTGTCCTGTGTCCATTTTGTATCTGTTCTCCTGAGCCTTGCAGTTGCATGACCTCAACGAGAGGAGTGCTGGCTCCTTCCCACCCTCGGTAACTTGACTGTTCCCTTCCAAGATCTGAGAGGACAGTTTGAATCCTATCAGAACGAGGAGTGAACTCATTTCTCCACATTCATTGATGGATGCACAACTGTTAACTGAAATATGAATTCCCACGTGTTAGGAGATGCATGGTCCTATCAGAAACTTCTGTTCCAGCTCTGATCATGCTGACTGAGTCAGACACGAGCATTATTTTCTAATTTCAGAGTTCTGACACAGCTTATTTGGAGGGTGGGTTGGCAGGCTGAGTCATGATATGCAGCACCAGAGACCAAGGGGTTTCCTTCCGCTAGTCTGTCTCCAGGATTTTGTGACTGTAGAAGCAGGATTTTTTGGGATCCTCATGCACACCGACATGCACTTCAGTTCTTTCTTTTTGGTGCAAAGTGTTCATATCCAGAAAAACATCACCTTGTGTTATTTTGAGGGGTTTAATCAATTTATCCCCTTAGGCTAACATAAATAAAAGCTCAGCCATTGGACAGGAAAAATATCATTTTGTTCCTTTTGCTATATAACATCAAACATCTGCATAGCTTGGTAATCCAAGACAAGTTGCCTCACAGCATCCCTCAACAATTATCATTTCTGTTCCATTTTCAAATCAGTACATGCTTTGGGACTTGCAGACTAAGTTGCTAAGTAGCAACATATGGCTCACTACTGTTCCTGTGATGTTGCTGCAAGCAAATAGCATAATTCTATACTTGAAATTATTTTTACAGAAAGCCAGTACTGGAACTGAGCCAGAAGTGTAAGTATACAGTAAAAATTAATGATATTCTTTTAAACTGTCCCAAAAGGCTGTTTGGCAATGTTGTCTCTGTGTACATTTTATATATACATGTAAGTCCTGTACTGTAGGTTATGGTATATGTAGTACAGGACTCTGCACTGCAGCCATCTCCTACATGAGTTGTGCCAGCCATATTAACAAACACCTAGTAGGACTCCATGACGTTTTCACTAATTGCACTTTGATCTGAAAATATTTATCATTTTAAAATAAAACTATGCCAACTGCTCTGCATTTCAAATTCTCACAAATACATTGTTTTTCCCCCTGCGCCTATAGTTGGAATCTCAGAGGTTAATCATTCTTCATGTAATTCCTCCTCCCGTAATTTGTTGGCCATGTACATCACCGTGTAAAACGATATTGTTTATTTTGGATTTCTTCCTAGTCACAATACAGAGTGTCATGCAGGACGGTGTTGCACAAAGCCTCGACGCCTTTGTAGCCTTCCTAAGCCCTGATAAATGTTAAAGGTAACAAATCCAGCTGCCAAATCCCCTGCGTGATCCAAAGGGAGGGGAGGAGAACTGGCCTGGAGCTGATGGTTTGGGGCAGTACCCTCACTGCACCAGTGGGAAGAATCCCTGCAGCAGAGGAAAGGAATACTGTTTGCACAGAGGTGACGTTTTCCTCCCTCCCAGACCTATGTCAGGGAGATCTATCTGCAATACGTGTGCCTGCTTTTTGATAGAGTGGGCACCATGGGTATCAAAACTGTTTTGTCCTCTACAGCTCCAGGGTCAAGTAGGATAGAATGACATCCAACAGACAGATTTTTCATGTTAATAGGAAACTAAAGGGATCCTCTGCCTTTTGCCGCCGTATGCACATGGTCCTAGAGATATCCCTGACTTCTTTTTACATGTTTATGCCCTAATTTCTTAGACTATTAATGGGGTAGCTATTATTCAGATGGAGCAGGGATGATTAAATGATATGTAATAGCTGCCCTCTCTTGCTCTTTATTGGTCCTTCCCTGTAGGTAGACCAGAATTTCAGGGTGCTGTATCCCACTCCTGCCAGAAGATACAGCTCTTCTTTCTTGTCGTTCTTCGAGAGTCCCAGTCAGCAGAGCAAGGCAGGAGCTGGCTGCCTTGGAAAGGATTCAGGAAAAGCGGCATTCTTAGGTGGAGAGTCACTAAGTGGTGCAGTGTAGTCCCATGGGTACGTACTACCCTAAAGTCCAGGGCAATCCTGCCCAAAAGCTGGAAAG